CCAATGCCGGGAACAAGCCGCACGTTTTGATACCACTTTTGTGGGTGGGCTCGCAGCGGTGCGAGCCGCATTAACGGTAGCGGAAGAAGAAGTTATAATAATAATAATAAAGAGGCGTTCTATTGGGTGTAGATTAATAGGTGCCTGCCATGCAATGCATGGAGGCAGTGACTGACTTGCTTCGCAAGTCAGTCACTGCTCTCCTTATGCATTGCTAGGCAGGCCCAATAACTAGAAAATTTCTGAAGAAATTTAACCGGGGCCTGCCAAAGTGTGCCCGTCGATTTGACCCAGCGTTCTGATGCTAAACATTAGCATCCATGCTAAAGAAAGCTGCAATGTCATCAATACAATGTGGAGAGTCACAAGCATGTATAGTAAATATGGGTAATAAGTAAGAGAAATAGCTAATACCTCATGCAAGGTAAAAGGCTAATGCTAATGCTCTGCCTTGCTGCGCAAGGCAGAGCCCTAACCTGAGTGGAAAGAATCATGCAGGATAATCTTATTGCACTGCCTACGGCAGTGCACTGGTGGGAAACAGAGAAATGCTAATGTTTGTGCTAATGCTAATGCACTGTCTTGCTGCGCAAGACAGTGTCCTAACTTGAGAGGAAAAGATAATGCAAGCTAATATCATTGCAGCGCCTGCGGCGCTGCATTAGCCACGGCCAGATCTTAAGGCTTTTATTTTGAAATGTTCAGAATGTTTCATTTTAAATGGTCAATGTAATCCCATGTATAACAGTGATTTGGTTAAATCAGACATATAATGGTCAAAAGAGCACTTATTTAATCTAAAAATTCTCAAGGCTTTTATTTTGAAATTTTTTTAAAGCTTAATTTAAAATTTCCACACTAATTCCATGTGTAACAATGGTTGGTTAAAAATAGTTATAAAAGGCCCAAATCACAAGCAGCTCTAAAGTCCAGCTTTGTTCTCTGAGTTCTGCCATAGTTAGAACTACAGTGATGCGTTTTTGTAGTCCTAATCAGCTGGCCCCTTTGTGTTCCGTTGCTATGGTAATGGATCCTCTGCCAGCTGTGAGTCAGACAGGGGGAGACTTAATTCTATAAGTTTGAGGCAGCCATTTTCCCTAAAATAGGCATGAGCCAGAAAGGAATCTTAAGGCTTTCATTTTGAAATTTTCATTGAGATTAATTTTAAATGGCCAATCTCATCCCATGTTTAACACTGATTGGGTTAAATCAGTTATATAGTGATCAAAAGAGCAATTACTTGATGGAAAAATTGTCAAGGCTTTTATTTTGAAATTTACATTAAGCTTAATTTTAATGGTAACACTAATCCCATGTGTAACTATGGAGTTTTGAAATCAGTTCTAAAATTCCCAAAAACCAAGTACTTGTCATGGCCAGCTGATTACCCCTCAGTAGTAACTGACAGTTCTGCCCTGTTGTAGTTTTTATATTCACCTATAACCTCTTCTGTAGGCACTGAGTGTTCCGCCATGTTGTAGTTCTAACGTTCAGGAATTGTAGTTCTAAAGAGCAGCTGATTCCTCCTCAGTAGTAACTGACAGTTCCACCATGTTGTAGTTCTGACAATCAGCTCTGACTCTTTTGTAGGCACTGAGTGTTCCGCCATGTTGTAGTTCTAACCTTCAGAAATTGTAGTTCTAAAGAGGAGGTCAACTATCATGTCAGTGTGACACACAAGGAGAGACTTAATTCTAAGTGCTTGAAGAAGTTAGTTTTTCTGACAGGCCTGAGAGAAATATTCAAGGTTTTATTTCGCTTAATTTAAGCTTAAGCTTAATTTAAAATTGCCAAACTAATCCTGTCTGTAACAGTGGTTGCTTACAATCAGTTATAAAAGCCCAAACACAATGTAATTCTAAAGGCCAGCTGATTCCCCCTCAGTAGTAACTGACAGTTCCACCATGTTGTAGTTTTTATATTCACCTATGACCTCTTCTGTAGGCACTGAGTGTTCCGCCATGTTGTAGTTCTAACCTTCAGAAATTGTAGTTCTAAAGAGGAGGTCAACTGTCATGTTAGTGTGACACACAAGGAGAGACTTAATTCTAAATGCTTGAAGAAGTTAGTTTTTCTGACAGGCCTGAGAGAAATATTCAAGGTTTTATTTTGAAATTTTCATTCAGCTTAATTTTAAATGTCCAAAATAATCCAAAGTTTAACAGTGGTTCTGTTAAAAAAGTCACATAATGCCCAAGAGAGCAATTACGTGATATAAAAGAATCTCAGGGCTTTTATTTTGAAATTTTCATTAAGCTTAATTTAAATTGCCACACTAATCCTGTGTGTAACAATGGTTGCTTAAAATCAGTTAAAAAGCCCAAAGACAATGTAATTCTAAAGGCCAGCTCATTCCTCCTCAGTAGTAACTGACAGTTCCACCATGTTGTAGTTTTATATTCACCTATGACCTCTTCTGTAGGCACTGAGTGTTCCGCCATGTTGTAGTTCTAACCTGCAGTCATTGTAGTTCTAAAGAGGTCAACAGTCATGTGTGTGAGGCAGAGACAGATTTCTATCTTTGTGAGACAGCTCAGTCAGTTATAATGGAAAAAGCAGCCCGAACAACTCCTTGCCGTTCGGAAACCGTGATACGTATCGGAAAACCGTTTGAAGCGTATGAGAGAGCTATTTTTTGTCTCCGATAGTCCTGCAAATCATATCTGTAGCTCATTCACAGTAATTGCAGCGATGAGAGAAAAATGGTGTGCACTGAGGTCTGAAATTTCCCATAAAAGTATGAAAATATATGGTGGAGAGCGTCAGTTAGGCTGGAACTTGATTTTGCTCTAAAGCACCTTGACAGAAAACCGTAAGCCCTAGAAAAATTTGAAAACATTTTACCGGAGCAAACATTCGTATCGATGTCATGTCCGAGTTTCATACCGATAGCACGATATTTGTGGCGTGGCGGCAATTTCAAAATTTATTTGGGGTCAGAAATCCACTTCATTTTTCACTCTAGCAGAGCGGCAGTGGTGGCAGTTATGCTCTGCGTTTCGGCAGTTGGAAATTTCGCTCGTTTTTCGCTTTTTACGTCGCCGTCGTAACGCCGATTCCCCATAAAAGTAATAGCTCCAATGCCGGGAACGAGCCGCACGTTTTGATACCACTTTTGTGGGTGGGCTCGCAGCGGTGCGAGCCGCATTCGGTCTACGGAAGAATAAGTTATAAGAACTAGAAAATTCCTGAAGAAATTTAACCGGGGCCCTGCCAAAGTGTGCCCGTCGTTTGGACCAAGCGTTCTGATGCTAAACATTAGCATCCATGCTAAAGAAACCTGCAATGCCATCAATAGCACGTGGATAGTCACAAGCATGACTTACTGAGCATAGGTAATAAGGGAAATAGCTATTACCTATTTCATTTAAGGTAAAAGGATAAAGGTAATGCTTTGCCTTGCTTGCACAGCAAGGTGTCAGACTGTCTTCAGTCTGACACCGTCTCAAAAGAGAAGTTCAGATCTCTTAAACTGAAAGACTTTTATGCTTCGAAGCCACATTTCCAAACTTCCGGTGGATGCCGCAGAAGATGGCATTGTTTGGCTTACCTTCATGTGTGAGCAGATTTTCAGCGTCATAAACATCAACAAAGCTCATCACAGATCCTGGTTAACTGACAAACATCTCAGATCTGTTCTGAGAATTGCCACAACAAAACTAACTCCAGACTTTGATGCACTGGCAAAAAAGTGAGAACAACACTGTTCCCACTGAGATGTAAGTTTCTCTAGTGTGTTATGAAAAAAAAGCAACTCTAGCATTTACGCGCAGCAGCGATACAGTAGCTTAATTAACATGCCGCACATCGCTCTCAATTTAAAGATCCCTTTCTTTCATTGGGTAATAATATTGAAACGATTCTGTTTTAGTTCTGCTTGGTTCCACATGGTTATGTGTTATAAGTTACATTGTGTTCCTTATTGTTACATGTAGCGTTATTTACTTCCTCTGACTCAGCTGACTTCCACTCACACGTGATTGGTCTGTCATGACGGTGGGGGTGGGAGCAGCAGGGCGGTGTTCGGTTGCCAGTTACGCTGCTCTTATTCTTATTTCCAATAAACCCTGTTTGACGGGACTACAGCTGCAGTGTTGGCATCATTACAATATGTTCTGAAATATATACTTTGAAAGTGATTCCGTTTATCTATTTCCACTAAATGTTGATTTCTTTTAAATTTGCACCTTCAATTGTGTCTGTTTTTCCATACATTTCAATACCCAGGTTTAATAAATTACATTGTGTGTCCAAATGCTCCTGGCCTCTCTGTCAAATTACCCATTCTGGCCCGCTAGTCAAAAACTTTGCAAACCCCTGTGTTAGAGCCATTACAAATAAGCATGTGAAGAATCACAAGCATGTTGACTAACATGTTAAAATTAGTGTACAAGCTAAAATTAGCCAAAATGCTAATGTAAGCCTAAATACTATTAATATTATAATTCAATAATAACATTAGTTAATTATATATATTTTTTATTTCGTTCATTTTTCTTTGAAATCAAAAAAAATATTTTTAAATATACATTAGTGACTATTGTCACTTAAGGCAAATGAATGTAGTTCATAATAGTGACAAAATTTTTAAATGAAAAAACCCACACACACAACAGATCACAGTTTAAAAATATATATTGAAGTCAAATTAAAGATTTCTACAAACTTTTTACAAGTAAAGATTACAATGAACCAAAATTACAACATTTAAAGAATACAATAAATTTCAGAACTTGATATCTCTGCAATAAAAAACTATCTTTTTTTATTTACATGTGTCCTGTCCGGCCGTGTGGCACTCAGGGTTGTTGCCTGAGTGTCAATGTAAGGCCTGACAGATTTAATCTCACAAGTGAAACATGGCTTTGCCACGATGATCAACTTGTCATAAATATCAAACTATTATACATATATACATACATGAAACATATATTAAACTATATTCTTACATGAAACTATTTTAAATATATACATACATAAAAACTATTTACAACTGTAGAAAAAAAAAGAAGAAAAAACAACCGCTGCTCCAAAGCTTTCATTTGGGATCCAGTCTATGTGACATCACAGACTCTGTAGTAAAAATACAGAAAAAAAAAAATTAATATTCATGACATTTTTAAACATCTGTAAAATTTAAACTTTGTTTAAATAAAGATTTCAGAATGATTAACAGATATAAATACCAATATGACCCAAGAAAAAAGGTCATACATCCACTGGATTCCTCCTATCAAACCTAGATATACAACGTTATCAATCTCAACTTAAAATAAACCAAATTGGCAAATAAATTAGCCTTCATTTGTTATGTACTTACCTGGTCAGATTGTCCCACCTGGAACATTCAAAGAAACAAGAACTCCATCTCCTCAGATTGTATGAGGCCCAAGTCCATGAAGTAGGTGAGGATTTCCTGGACTGAAAACACACAAGTCATTCCATCAATAGACAGCTATTACCAACAACAAAAAAAGTAACAACTTGTAAGGTTGCTACAACTTAGATACATTTTCTACATCTTATGGGCCAAACCTCAAGGTCTTGTTTCCTCTCTGTCTTCTTGGCAGCCTCCAAGGATCGTTTTACGTGGAAAACCCTGCAAGAACAGACTAAAACTGGGAGAACAAAGGGTTAATTCCACCAAAACCAAACAAATTCTGACCAGATGGAGGGAGTCCAACAGGACAAAAGTGAGCCAAACTTTTGTCCTGCTTGTGAAGTGAAGATAATGTAGCCACTGGGGGGCTGCAGCATTAAAAAGTTCAGTGTGACTGAGGAGAGATTGAAACAAGGAGAGCTTTAATTAAGTGACGCAAACGGTGAAGAATAAAAACGTAGTTCCGCAAAAAATTTAGGCATATTTGAAGGGAAAAATTGATGTTAACTGTATTAGAAAAATTACGAAAACTTTATGGTCCCCATTTCAAATCATTTTAATTTCAAATAGAACAGAATATACATATAGTAACTGATTGTCTTATCTACTGCTCCCTGGTGCAACATTTCCAGCAACTACTCTGACAGTGAACCGATAAGTGTTTCAAGATCAGCCACTTTCGTATTCACAAAGCTCAAACAGTTTCATGTGCAAGTACAAAACCTGTTTATGAAGCCTCTTCTACAGAAGTAAATAAGTTTTGAAAAGATTCACTAAGTGTACAAGAATCTCTTATGCCGACAACAAAATCCACAAGCATACACCATAATTCAGAAATGTGTACAATGAATAAATACATATGAAATCCACTGCAACAATGATCAAGAAAACGATCCACGCTATCATAATTATAAAAGCAAACAGTCAAATGAAATGACATTAAAAACGACTAGAGATTCCAACATTTTCTCCAAAAAGAATTTCATGTCATGATTTCAGGGTTAAGATTTACAGTGCTTACAAAGTAATCATACCCCTTGAACTGTTCCATATTGTTACATTGCAACCACAAATATATTTCATCCAAATGTAATATGAAAGACCCATGACGTAGAACCCTTATGATTAAGTGAGACTGTTTGATTCAGTGTTCCCAGCCTTTGTTCAAAAAGGAGGACCGGGGGGTGTGATGTCTCCCTCGCAAGGTCTATTTGGGGTTCATGGAGAGGACGGTCCATCAGATAGCCGAAAGTCGGATTCGAGAAGAGCAGTGTGGTTTTTGCCCTGGTCATCTAACATTGGACCAGCTCTATAGCCTGAGCAGGGTCCTGGAGGGTGCATGGGAGTTCACCTAACTCCCATGCAGGTGTTGGGTCTACAGATGTTTTGTGGACTTGGAGAAGAAGTTCGACTGTTTCCTTCGGGGAGCAAGGGGTGGGTTCTCTGGGAGTATGGGGTCCCGGGTCCTTTGATACAGGCTGTTAGGTCCCCATATGACACCAGTGTCAGAGACTGGTGTGCATTGCCAGCAGAGTCAAGCTCGTTTCCTCGGCAAAATCCAACTCTAAGCAGAAATGAGCTTGACTTACTGCCAATAATGCAGACCACGTTTCTGTAAGGTTGCACAGAAACCTTACAGCCCGTATCAAAGGACTTGGACACCATACTCCATGAGAACTCCCACAAAGTTCCCAGAGGGACCCTGTGAAATGCCTTCTCAAAGTCCATAAACACATGTAGATTGTTTGGACGAACTCCCATGCATTCTCCAGTATCTTGATGACCCTCCTTTCCAGGACTCCAGAATAGACTCTACCAGGGAGGCTTAAAAATATGACAGATTTTTTTGCAAATAAACTGAAAAGTGTGTATTACTTAGTACAGGTGTGTCAAACTTATTTTTGTTTTGGGCCAAATCAAGATTATGAAAGCTCTTAAAGGGCCAGTTGTGCCAGAATGTGTTGATAAAGCCTGTTCACAAACTGTTAATATGTCAATAAATTCTTAAAATTACATAATATTATTGAACTTCTTTTCAGTCCCTTCAGGAACTAATAATAAATTTACTCGCTGTATAAATCATGGACTATAATCATACATTAACTAAATTCTCAAGAAACTGGAGGGACTGATTGATATAAATTGGCAGTAAACAGATAAAAACTGCATTGATATGATTGATAATATAATATTTAATCACACTTAGTGTTAGTATAGTCTGTGGAGGGCCACATAAAAAGCAACGGCGGGCCGGATTTGGCCCGGGCCTTGAGTTTGACACATGTGACTTAGTATATACCTGCAAAAATAAACAAATATTTCTCCTCTCCACTGTTTTTCCATAGTTGTGGTTGTAATCTGATAAAATATGGAAAACTTAAAGGAACATGACTCCTTTTGCAAGCCACTGTAGATGCAACTTATACTGAAGCCAACACACAGTATGTAGGATTGTGGTAGCTGTAGTAATTCTGCAAGATACCTGATTGGACACAATATTCTGGATGGGAGATGTAAATATGATCAAGAAGAGTATGTTTTTCTGTGGTTGGATCAGAGATAAGTTGCATAAACCCTTTGGCTCTAAACAACTGATTGATGGCTTTTTTCCCAGGAGGAATAATGTCCTCATTAAAGTCTCCTAATACGACAACGGGATGAATAGCCATTGAATTCAGGCCAACCAAGAGGCTCTGCAGATTTCTTAAAAATGTTCCAAGATCATAACTTGGTGGCCTGTAAACTGTCGCGATGACTGCACTGATTGGGGTGTCCACTTTTACAACATTAAATTCAAGATCTGTAACCTCGTTAAAGAATCTCCGTTCCTGCGGTTGGAGAAGACTCCGGCAGTAAGTCGCTACTCCCCCACCCTCTTTGGTGGCAATGTCGACTCTGTTCGAGTAGGAGACATGTCTGTTCCGTGAAAAAAGAATAGCCCTCCATTTGGCAGGAAGCTGGAACAGAAGATCCAAACAAATGAGTCTCCGTAAGGCATAAGATATCTGCCAACATGAGTTCATGATGTTGTTTCATGTCCTCAGAGTGACAGACAAGGCCTTCGACATTGTGGTGGACAATCGTTAATGTTGCACCCTGAAGACCTGACTGAAAATGCAAGAGTGGTCTGGTGTGCAAAAAAATGTTGCTGGTCTCATTGATTCCATCGCTGCTCTAATATTTTCATCAGCGTAGATCTTATTTTCATCGAAATCAATGATTTTAAGTCCTTCCAGGGAAGTTGTGCGACTGAGAGCTACATATGCCATACCAGGTTCAAAAATGCGCTTCAAAGAAATGACTGCAGACTTCATAGTCATTCCTTGGACTTTGTGTGCTGTACAACCAAAGGCTAACCTAATTGGAAATTGCCGTCGTACCTCCCTTTACGCTACTCTGTTCCTCAAATCTCTCAATATAAACAAAGCCATCTGGTTTACCCCGAATCTTTTTTGTATGTCCAGCAAGAGGATTGTCCAATTTAAGTCCAATTAACTTTACGCTAGTCTTTCCGTCTTTGGTACTGGTGACAATATCAGCTATGGTGCCAAATGTTCCATTCACAAGACCGTCCTCTACATCCAAGTTTCTTATAATCATTACTCTAAAACCCAAACCAGCCTGTATGTTGTTAGACAAGTCTCGCTTGTTGCCCGCTATGCAACAGCCCAGGTTAATCATGTTTCCGGTCTTTGTAATTCTTTTGTAGTCCTCTGCCTGGATATCAACTGTTACTGCACCTAAAGAGGCCACAACTGCTGCATTATGGGTGTCCACCTGTTTGTTTGTTGCAAAAATGTGTAGGACATCCATAGGACACTCTTTGGGCTCAGTAACAGCTTGAATCAAAAGAGTCTTGTCATCATCACTGAGCAAATTCGCTTTACCTTTAACTCTAATCCGATTCAGGAGCTCCGCAAATGCTCTCTCATCTTTCTGCCGCATGATTTCGGTCAGGCTGATCATCTGGAAATTTTCATTCCATATCAAGCATGCCGTCCTCGGCGACACAAAGAGGTTTTGCCCGTCCAAGGGGAGGAAGTTGGAAGAAGTCCCCCACAGCAAGAACAGAGACCCCACCCATGAACCTGTTGTTCCCCTTTATTTGTTGAAATCTCCAGTGAAACATATGCAAGCAGGTCTTTGGAGACCATGGAGATTTCATCAATGATCAAGATTTCCACACTAGAAAGAACTGCCCTCACTTCATCCAATGAATTTCCAAGGCCTTTGTATGGTGGTTTTAAACTTTTGGGTAGTTTCAAGATGGAATGTAAAGTCTTCCCCGATATGTTGTACGCAGCAGTACCAGTAAAAGCTGTAAGAAGCACAGTGGGCTTGGACATGTCACCAATATCAAGAAGTCTAGGAAGCTGGCGCAAGAGCTTGGTTGCCTCCTGGTAAACACATTTGATTACATGAGATTTACCACAGCCAGCTCCTCCTGTCAAGAAATAAAAGAAAGGTTCTGGGTTGTCACCCCAGACGCGCTTCAGACACCAATCGCGAATGGTGTAAAACACGGATGCTTGAGTCTCGTTTAAACTCCTGTACATTTGTCTGATGAAATCAGGGCTCAATTTTGGAGCTTCAATTTTTGGCATGTCTCCAATATTGACATCAATTTCAATCTGGAATAGGGTCTTGCTCTTCATCTTCTTCAAATGGTGGTCGCTCAGCAGCGCATTCTAAATTGTCTAATTCAACCTCTGGCGCAAAAGTGTTCCAAGCATTACGAACCGGTCCTTGCTTTTTCAATTCTTCCATAATTTTGTCAATTTTTTTACCCTGCCCTTCATACCTTTTGCGGTTGAAATCCACATACATTTTAGCCTGATATCTACCACGGAAACCGTTGTTGTAAAATGCTTCGTAGGTTGTGTGTTCCTCAGTTTTAAGGTCCTCATCTCTTCTGTGTGGACAATATAACTTTAGAAGCCGTCTATAAAATTTTTCGGGTGTTTTTTTCTCCGAGAAACGAGTAAATCTGATAACTGCAGGTTTGCCCATCGTTCTTTTCTGGATGAATCCTGCATCATTAAGTAGGGGAATTGCATTTGGCCCTTGAATTTGATTGCCATATAAAACGCGGTACTCTGATGCAAATTCTGCCAGGCACATGTGTTCAAATTCTAACGTTTCTGGTCTGTTTAGATATTTTTCCGGCAATCCTGTCATCCACACATTTTCCTCATCTGGAGACATGTTCACGAGTTTACTCATCGGAAGGCTCATTTTTACACCGTCATCTGTTTGAAGAAAAAGAACACTACGCGAGGATTTTTTGAGAGGTAGGCTACAAGTGCGCGCAACCGATTCTTGAGCACTAACCTCTCTCTGTTTTGAATAAGCCTGCATAATCTTTTTCATTTCATCGCGTTCGCTAACATTGGTCGCCTTTAAATCATCAACAACAGATTTGAGGAACTGTGCCATTTCATGCTCTGGCTTGGCTATGTAGGACATCATGTACTCGATGCAGCTGTACTCATCAAGCACATACTGAATGTCCATGTTGGCATTCCGCACGCAAAAGATCAGGGTTGTACCCGTTCACCCAACTATCTTTAGGATCACGTTTCATCATTACCACCATTCCAGAAGTGAGAGCATCAACGTGGCCAATGTACTCTTCTTTGGTCATGTTACAAGCCTGGAGTAACTCTGACAAATTGCTGAATGATGATTTTTCGTCCTTCAGTAAATCCCTGATTGGTTTCAATTTCTTCTTAGCTTCTCTTTGTAGGTTTGAGATGAATGGTGATCTGGATTTTTTGGACTTTCTCCTACCTTTTTGCTTAATTTGTTTTGGTTTTCATCATCATTTTCCAGATCAAAGTCAATCACTGGGACGGTAATTCTGGTGCGGTCCATTGGTAGTTTAGGGAATCCAAATCGGCATTCAACATTACCTTTTTTGCATGATTTTGAATGATTTTTGCTGTGCATTTGAACCTCTGTTACAATTTTGTGGAGCTCTGGATCTCTGATTTCATCAGGCAACTGACAGGATATGTATCGATCGATGAACTTTATGACTTCATCGCAACATGCAGGGTCTTCCATTTCAGGTGCATCCTTAATCCATATCACAGCATGTATATGGGGTGAACCCCTGGCCTGAAATTCCACACGATAAAAGTAATCGTCAACTGGTCCAATGGGCTGTGCAGGGGAAAGAATGAGGTCTAAACAGTGCGTCCACTCTCTTTTCAAACATGCGCATGACGGTGACAGGGTTGCTCCTAAGAATGTCACACTTTGCATTCCAGTCAAGCTCAGAAAAACTTACCTGCTCTCCATGTTGAGCTTTGATCGCCTCAATGACTTCTGGCCATCTCATTTCAGCAGCAGAGAACGTGCAAAAGAAAGTGGGCTTTCCAAGTTGCCTCACCATGGCGTGCAAATCACGTAATCCTTTTTCCCAATAAGCGGGAGTTCCTCTTAAAGGCTGCATGAAACGAGTGGCCTCTTTATTTTGTATGAGTTTTTCCAACTCCTCTTTGTCTTGTAGCATTTTGCTGGAAATATTTTTCCATCTTTGGTGCTTGGTTTCCCTTTTCTAGTCTGAATGGACATACTATTATTGGCAATATGAGTTTCAGTAACAAACTGAGCAAAGAAAAGGTAACTCTGGTCTTTTGCAAACCGAGTATCTATTGAAAAGAGCCGTACATTGAAATACATACTTGGTGAAAGTCCAACACGGCGGGATTCATCTAATGTGTTTGCTCCAGTTGGGAAATGTACAGGATAAGCCTTGGCTTCAAGTCTCGGAACACTGAAGAAAGAGACAGGCTTATTCCCCTGGGCTGGCGCAATGCTGAAAATTCCTTCTCCATGACAATACTTCCTGTGCTATGTCAGGAGGCTGCATGCAGGTGTCCAAGATCAGACCAGGTCGAAGTGCCTGATGCTCTGCCCCTATGTGGTCAGGTTGCTGGTCTGCTGCTGCATCCATTTCAGCCTCCTCTGCTTGTGTATCCGAGTCCTCAACTGGCTGATCCTCTTGAAAACAGTCAAACGTTGCGCTTTCATTTATACTTACCTCTTTGTAATCTGGATGACTCTCTTTAAGCTTTCTCAGTCCAGCTAAGACATTTTTCATGTTGACTGTGTAAAAGTACTGGTAACCTTTGTACTTGGTTTTCCTCTTCAGCTTCACCTGTAAAAGCTGAGCTTCCTCACGGGGCCTCGGAAGACTGTTTACCACTGTTTCCATGTCAGAAGGAACACAGACAACTGCTCCATGTATTGCCCTTTGTTGTCCCTTGGGCAAAGAAACAATTTTTGCAAAAGGTAGAATTTTTGCAATTAGTTGTCTTTCAAGTACATTCAATTCCGCAAGCTCTATGGGAACAGGCGCTAAGTGAAGGTGATTGGCAGCAGCAATGGATGGCATCTTTCCTCTATTTAGATGGCTGTCACAAGTATAACAGATCCACTCACCCATCCTCTCTTTGGGTACAGAACACGGGGTTGAGCACCCAGATCCACACACATGAACATACGTACCCGTTAGACAATCAGCTACTATACGCATATTCTTGGTATATTTATCTCGTTTACATTGCTTTACTTGATTGGGAAAAGAGCTCTGTGACACACGGTGCAAACATATGTCGGTCCGTTTTGTATGTTCTTATGAAAGTTTTGTATTGCAGCTTTCATTTCGTCACTCATCAAAGGGCATGGAGTTTCAAAGTGAAAGCCTACATTTCTCCTGTATTTTCTTCTGATTCGTAAAGCATGCTGCAGTGTCAAATTTTTGGAAAGTGCTTGTCTTGATAGTCTGGCTCTTCTGTTAGCAGTACATTTTTCATTATGTTTGACCCGATAACCAGGTTCACAATGATATTTCACCTTCATATATTCACGCATATTTTTTTTTGTGTTGGCTACTGAAGACTGGATCATCTCTGAATCGACTGCTAATGTATGATTTTTGTTTGCTTCTAAAGGCCGGATCATCTCTGAATCGATTTCTGATATATGATTTTTGCCTGCTTCTAAAGGCCGGATCATCTCTGAATCGATTCCTAATGTATGATTTTTGTCTACTTCTAAAGACCGGATCATCTCTGAATCGATTCCTCATGTATAATTTTTTTCTGTTTCTAAAGACCGGATCGTCTCTGAGTCTTTCCCTAATGTATAATTTTTTTCTGTTTCTAAAGGCAGGGTCATCTCTGAACGTTTACTCATATACTCAGCCATGTGGGCTTTATGACTGGCTCTGAAGCTGTGGACAAAGTTGAATCTGTACTTAATGTAATTTTTCGTTGCTTCCGGAAAGATTCATCAGTCCTATATCTATCTTTTAACTGATCCTTCCTCTCTGCTTGATGAAGAATGTATGTTTCTTTTAAGGCCTGTAGCTTTTTCGTCCTAAATGTTGGAGATTTGAGATATTTTTCTTTTTCTGATGAACTTTGTTTAATTTTATTGACTACATTCTGTCCCTGTTCTGTTTTATTCTGTTCCTAATTTTTTTTCTATTGGCTTTTGGAACTTTTGACACATTTGGAATGGTTGGAATCGTTTCCTCTAATACATTTCCAACTTCCCTAAGCCAAGGAGGCATTTTCTCTTCAGAGGTGCTCTCTGGTTTGAAAACAGATGGACTTACTTTTGTTGCTCCAGGTGAAATATTCTGAAAGGCCAAATCCTCAGAAGGGTCTTCGTTGTCCCTGACAAAACCTACTGGCACAAACTCATAGGTGGCATTGGGGCCGCGGTTTCGAAAGAGCTTAAGCAGATGGTTGACCATGTCAGACAGGTTGCAGAAAGTCATCATCACTGCAGTTCCGCTGGGTTGGGGCAGGCCTGAGGAATTTCTTGAATGGGAATCAAAAACTCCAAATCGACCGCTTCTGTCCCTGAAAACTGCAATGCACTCTGGAGTCACCAAAAGAAAAGCATGGGTGACATTTTCCATCAGGCATTCCAGTTGCAGGGCAAGAGGCAAACCAAATTGGCTCCCGCTACCAGCAAAAACATGACCTACCCTTAAACCAGTTGTGTGTACTGCATAGATGTTCCTGTCTGTCAGCACATGGTCAGGCATCTCTTCAAACGTCAAGTGATTGTCACGAAACGTTCCATCACTGATCAGTTGCTGTTTAACACCGACATAAAGTTGGTCTCCTTTTTCAATCACTCTATCAAGCAACACTGTGTCAAACTGCAACCCCTCATTGTGGTACGCTAAAAATGTGAGTGCCATGCATGTACACTGGTGATTGGGGAAAATGCAGCATACCTGTTGTCGGCCTGGGAATGAGTAGCACTTACCACAAGGACAGGTGAACCGCTGATCCCGGGTTCCAGCGCCGAAGCCTGTAACATAAAAAAAGTAATTACTTATATAAATATTCACCTGATGACTACCCATCACCAATTAGGCTAGTTGTAAACATGTATTTTGAAAAAGAGTAATCAATTACTCTGGCGATAAATAAATTGAAATACAATTTTCATAAAGTAACATAATGGTAAGTATTTTCACAGCAGTAATGGATCAGTTTTCAAGATTAATACATATGTTCATATTTGTGCATCTCAAATTCACTTTTCTGTACTTTAGAAATTAATCTAACAATACTAGCAAACATTTTGAAATAATATTCAATTTAATAAAAATAAAAAAGACACAAATAATAAAGCAGCACACCCACAAAGTCAAAAACTTGAAAACACACATTTTCTAAAATATATAAACGCACTTTGTACAGCCATTTGTAGCTTTTGTGCTAATGTGAGTGACATAATCTTTGGCACCTTCGTCATACACAGAACCACGTATGCTAACTTTCTCCACAACACGTTGCAACCATTTGTTGTGACTAAGATGGTAGGAAGGAGTTACCTGGCAGCTCCCATCCCGGACCTGGTCCTCCAGTGGCACGGAAGAGGACTCGGCAGGGGCCTCGACGTCCGTCGGGGGGACCGGTCTCCGTGCCTGGCGACGAGCTGGCGTGGTGGTCTCTCTCGGCGCTCCCTCCATCTATAAATCAATAGAAGCTATTAACATATACATTTCATTATCTTAAAGTCAGTGATATATTTTCTGAAACAGTGTCACACCTGCTGCTCCACCGGATTCAGCTGGGAGGGATCAGAAATTGGACGACGCCTCGGACTCGTCTTCTAATTAAAAAATAGAAGAAATTATGTGATTGTTAAAATCAACCATGGCATATCAAATTCAAATTATCATTTAAAAAAAAAATTTAAATACCTTCTTCCTCGTCGGAGAACATGTAGGTAACGGAGCGTCACGGCCAGACGCAGGAACGATCCGGTCCATCTCCTCCAGCAACGTTGGGCTGAACCACACCGGATTCGGGGGGATGGAAGAATCCAGCAGGTCTCCCTGTAAAATAACAAAAATAGCTTAAAATAGATTCATTTGTACTCTGAGAACATAACATGTTTTGCTTTGAGGTGAAGAAAATCATACCTGTTGGTCAACCACCCTCCCAGTGGCGTGTGGACAGCCATCACCACCCTGGACACCACGCGATGTCTGTAAACAAAGAAAAAGTATTTTCAGTGGCAGCAAACCCTCTGGTTCCAGGACATACATGTATAGTCATTTTGAACAAACTTTGATTTTACCTTTGAATTTCCTCAACAGAAAACATATCAATGCTATATTTTCTTCAGCACAACCTAAACTGTATGAAATGACACTTTTTTCCCCTTTTGGACATACTGTTATTACACATACAGGAGTTACAAAACATTCAAGTTTGAAAAACGTTTATTTTTCACAGTGAAACTTACAGAGGGTTTCTACCTTAACTCCTGGAGTTTACAATGGCTGGAAGCTGCTGGGGGAGTCGCACTACCTCATCCCCTGGTGATCGGCTTCTTCCAGCTGCGCAGTGCCGCCATTCCTCTCCTTGGACCACAAGTACCTGCCTCTACCCTACCGATGCGCCATCTTACCTTTTATTCCTCACATTATCTAAATTTTTAATAAAACTGCCATCAACATCGTCTTAATCTTTACTGTGCCTCAGATTGTGGCTGCAAAATTCCCTCATTATATTCAAGTTAAAAAAGAGCAAGCCTGTCTCTTGCACATTTGTTAGTTGCATAATTGTTCATATACAATGACCAGACAGTGAGTTTCTTTACTTTACTAGTTTTTTCTGGACTCATTCTAGTTGACCTCTGTCCTGTCTGCGGTCATGTTGTCATTCATAGATTAACATATAAGTGCACATTTTGTTATTTTGTCTTGTTATTTTATATTTAGTTACATTTTTAAACTACGTACAATATCACAGTCATGTATACATTTTCATAAATGTTATATTCCTTATGGTTTCAATTGTGTCAACTAATATTTGGACGAACCATCTTTTTGGCAAAAGTAAGCAATTTTTCCTTAGGCACCAATAAAGTATACACAATTCTAAAAAATACGTACTAATTATGAAGTGTGTGTCACAGATTTCTGTCAAACCAATCAATATTTTACCGTTTTTGCCATTACGCTGGTCCCGCTTGTCACAGTTGCTCTTTTCATCATTACTTGCACAACTTTCCCCCATTCCGTTTCAATAAAATACAGCCCATACTTATTGTTTGGAAATTTCAAATAACAAAGAGATGTCATTTTGCATTTCATATTTACATTTGTAAGCCAATTCCCTTTCACATTCTCAAAATAGGCGGTTTTTAACATTTACATGATTTTTTTTTGTTTACAAAATAGACTTAATTATTTTAGCATAACTCCAGTTTTACTTTCCCCTCAACACAATTAAAAAACTGGTACATTGTTTACAATCAGGGCTTTAAAGAAAAGTTGAAATATCGAATCAGGGAGGCACACACAAAACAGACATGTTAAAAAGTGATACACATTCATGGACTCTTAAAGAGTTAAACATGCAAAATTTTGCTTAAATCAACAAAGCATGTATTTAGTACCTTTCGGCGAACCACAGTCCAGTCGAAGGGGTCCGAACGACGCGGAGCAGCCACCTCGCCAACCACAACCAGCCAGGGCAGGGGACGTCTCACCGCGGGGGGGGAAGCCGTCCCAGGGGGGGGAGGAGCCAACATCACAGGAGCTGGGGATTTCGGTGCACTTAACTCAAGTTGCGAGCAGACCGCAGCCTGAAGCAACTGAGAAAGGACTTCCATCCCCGGACGGTCGCTCAGGTGAACCTACGAGTTATAAATACATTTTATAAAATACAGTACGCCCAAACAACACTTTTACAATTATAAAAATCAATTCAACTTACGCCATCCCTGCTCCACAAGGCTAGGCTGCTCAGCGGGAAGTGTTCAGTGACAGGGATGTACCGAACACCTAGAGAGAAATAAAGGAAAATTTAATTCTTAATGTCAGTAACAATGTAGTAATTTCAGATAATGTAGATTCAAAAGGATAAATAAGTAAATTTTAGTCTGAACACAAATTTTGTACGTCACTTACTTCTCTGAGCAGCCACACGTTGAAACTCCTGCCGCAGCAGCTGTTGCACACTTTCCTCCACGCAAAGGCGTGGTGGAAAGTCCACAACGACCACCTGTAAATTTCAATCCAAAAAAAATGAAGCAAATTAACATATGCCAAGATTTCAGATATATTTCATCATGAATAAATGCAGTGAATATTACACTTACATTAGCAGAGAGGTTGCAGACGGTACGCAACAAAGCCCCGAACGCCGCTCCGGCCTCCACGAAGGTCCTGCTGGCGGTCAAGTTGTTACTTGGGGCCAGAAGACAGATCACCTCGGGGGGCCGAGGCAGAACTGCATCCAGCACCTCAAGCCGCAACTCTTCCGCAGAGGCCCCGGGGGATGCAAGCACCCCTAAGGAGAAGTCGCCCTTTGGCATGGTAGAATACCCATCCACAATAGCACGCAGATGGGAATCACCAACCAAAAGAGCAAACTGAAAAAGAAAAACAAACATTTAAGTTTGCTTATAGAATTTTATCATTCAAACCAAGATTTGTGTATGAGACGGGACAAAAAAAAATACCTTCTTCTCCAGAGCCTCGGCAGTAGGCAGAACCAACTTGCAGCTCCGTCTGGTCACCCGGGAGGCTGGCCACGTCTGGACCCGATGGCGATGCCCCGTCCCACGGCCTGTTTAGAGACGTGCACTTATCAATACTAGGCTTTCATGCCTCTGAAAATTTAACAACAAAACAACAAAGATTTTATCTACATACGTGACCCAGGAGAGGTCGATGGCACACGGGGCTCCTCCTGGCGCACCACGGGAGGCGACATCTGCAAAACAATTATTACAAAATGTTTAGATTAATTACAAACATAACTGTATTGGGTTATTTTAATTAAATGATTCTGAACTTGTCATGAACATACCTGGTCGGGCAGGCCACCCTCCAGCAGTCGCGACGTCTAAAGACATAAATAAAATTAGTAAAGCAAATGATGTTATTCAACGATAAGTTGCTAAAATGTAAAATTATAGCCATACCTTCTTCGGCGGGGACCGAATCGGGTTCCAAGCACTGGACGTGAGCGGTGGTGTCTCAGGCTGTAAACACAGAAATGATTATAATCATGTTTAAAGTCAAAACTACAATAAGAACTACCATTAGACAAAAACAATTTCTGCAATGTGTAATTATATACCTTGGCGACGTCCGGCACACTCTCCAGCTTCCTCCATCTCACCTTGGCCGCCTCCGAGCGTCGTCCTCGACGTGGCATCCTGAAACACCACAGTAGAAAAGGAGACAACTGCGGGGGAAAAGTGGTTATTTATGAAGAAAAATGAAATGAAGTAATATATATGAAATTAAACTGTGTTTGTGGCACTAGGTGTCTGTGTATGTGCGTGTTAGTGAATGTGTGAATGTTAAAATGTGATTAAACTTGTCTGAATATGTATTGATGGAGTAATAAGATGCTGTAGTGATGTCAATGTGATTTGCAGCAAGTCGCACTGGAAAACTTCGAAATCGCACAGTCTCGCACAAGTGAAAAGCTGTAATGAGAAGAAAAATACATAACAATTAAAAAAGGCTTACAAAAATAACTAATAGACAAATAACTTGTTTTTCTTAAATACAAGGACTAATTTCAAACTCTTCTAAGGCATCTAAATATGATTAGGGTCTTTTCCACAACTGGAACAAACATCAGTACATAATACAACTTGTTCTAAAATCTAATTAAAAACACAGACTAAACTAATTAATCTCTACATTTTCATATGTAAATGGAGAAAAATAAAGTTTAATCAAATGAACCAAGTCTTTCACTGTATAAGCTCTTTAAAGTAAATTATAAAACTTGTCAAACATCAATATTACAAACCTATGGAAATACACAATATTAGCTTGGTGTGTTGTAAATTAGATTTTTCATTTGAATTTTAAAAAATTATAAAGTTCATAAAGTGACTGCAGCAAGTGTTTTTTGTTTTTTTCATCATTATGTAATACATTTATTTAAGGCAAAACAAAACATCTGACTTTATTTACTCAATCAGAACCTCTAGGTCAGGGGTGTCTAACTCAAATACACAGTGGGCCAAAACTTTAAATTGAACAAAGTCGCAGGCCAAGGTTGAACAAATGAATCTTTTAATATGGACCCAAACAAGTTCTAAAATAACAATAAATATTGAACAAGCAAAGCTTATCTAACTTAAAAGTGCAGGTGTGCAAAATTGAGTTGCTAATATTAATAAAACATATTATATTAAATAAAATATATTTAATATATGAAATAAAATATTAAATATATTAAATAAAATTTAAATACACATTTAATGCCTCCTTTCTGACGTAAATGTCTAATATTAATTTGAAATTGCCTCGCGGGCCAAATATAATTACACTGCGGGCCAAATTTGGCCCGCGGGCCAGAGTTTGACACCTATGCTCTAGGTCACATGTGTCAAACTCAAGGCCCGGGGGCCAAATCCGGCCCGCTGTAGCCCTTTATGTGGCCCTCTAGAGTCTAGACTAAACACTAAGTGTGATTAAATATATTATCAATCATATTGATGCAGTTTTTATCTGTTTACTGCCAATTTATATCAATCAATCCCTCCAGTTTCTTAAGAATTTAGTTGATGTATGATTATAGTCCATGATTTATACAGCGAGTAAATAAACAGTCACATTTATTATTAGTTCCTGAAGAGACTGAAAAGATGTTCAATAATATTATGTAATTTTAAGAATTAATTGACATATTAACAGTTTGTGAACAGGTTTTATCAACACATTCTGGCACAACCGGCCCTTTAAGAGCCTTCATGATCTTGACTTGGCCCAAAACGAAAATGAGTTTGACACCCCTGCTCTAGGTTCTCCGTGTCCGAGTGACGCTGCAAATCCGCTCAGAAGTTACCGCAGCTGCTGCGCTTCAGACCGTAATATGGATAATATTCCCCAAATTGGACAAGAACCGAATAAAGTCACATATTAACCTGTTATAGAGAACTAATAAATCACGTAAAGCCTCGTGAGGGTCAGAAATAACGTGAATAAATTCAGAAAAATCTTATTCCATCAAGCTAGCAAGTACGCTATCAGAGCCACGACGAAATATCGCGCAGTAAACTTTTAAAATCAACCACCTTTGTCAACGAACAGTACATCTAACAACTACAAACAGTTATGATAATATTGTACTGAAATAAAAATTGTAAATACTATATATTATGGATAGATCACAAACACGTCTTACCTTGACCGAAGCAGACTCGGAAGCAGAACGTTCCAGAAAGTTCCAGCCCGCTTGGGAATATGTGTCAGCCAATCAGAAATTGGTGTATGACGTATGCTCTTGCTGACCAGTCAGCTTTACAAAATAACAATTTTAAAAGATGCAACACAATAACAATTGTAAACATAGCTGTCGGAATCTGCACCTTACGTCACAGGCATAGATACAAGATGTTACATGTCAACCAATCAGAGACTGACATTTTCCAGCGTGTATGGCATAGGCTTCTGTTGACCACCAGCTTCACAAAAAATAAATAAATAAATAAAATAAAATAAAAAATAGAATATTTTAAGAGACATAGCCTAAAAATTACTTGTTTAGACAAAGGTAAGGTTCCCTATGATTATATTTAATCTACGTGACAGACGTAGACACAAGATATTACATATAAAAAAGAAATCAAATATTGACATTTTCCAGCGTTTATTAAATACTCTTATTCTAACCTGGGAGAATAAATAGAAAAAATATTATCTTAGGAAAAGGCTAATGCTAATTAAACAGCATTACCCTTGTTCTGCAAGGCAGTGCATTTGTGGGGGGACTAACATGCTAATGTATGTGTTGAGATCTGTGCTTACCTATTTACCATATTTAAAGTAAAAGGCTAATGCTAATGCTCTACTGAACCCTAACCTGTGAGAAAAAAATAATTCAGGATAATGCAGGATAATCTTATTGCACTGCCTAAAGCAGTGCACTACTGGGTAACAGTGAAATGCTAATGTTTGTGCTAATGTTAATGCTCTGCCTTGCTGCGCAAGGCAGAGCCCTAACCTGAATAAAAAGTGGGGAACAGTGAAATGCTAATGTTTGTGCTAATGTTAATGCTCTGCCTTGCTGCGCAAGGCAGAGCTCTAACCTAAGAAAGAAAGATCATGCTGGATAATCTTATTGCACTGCCGTAGGCCTAGGGCAGTGCACTAGTGGGGAACAGTGAAATGCTAATGCTAATGTTAATGCTCTGCCTGAGTGAAAAAGATCATGCAAGCTAATATATTGCAGCGCCCGCAGCGCTGCATTAGCCACAGATGAATCTTAAGGCTTTTATTTTGGAATTTTCATTAAGCTTAATTTAAAATTGCCACACTAACCTGTGTGCAACAATGGTTGGTTAAAATCAGTTATAAAATGCCCAAACACAATGTAATTCTAAAGGCCAGCTCATTCCTCCTCAGTAGTAACTGACAGTTCGCCATGTTGTAGTTCTGACAATCAGCTCTGACTCTTTTGTAGGCACTGAGTGTTCCGCCATGTTGTAGTTCTAACCTCAGGAATTGTAGTTCTAAAGAGGTCAACAGTCATGTGTGTGAGGCAGAGACAGATTTCATATCTTTGTGAGACAGCTCAGTCAGTTATAATGGAAAAAGCAGCCCGAACAACTCCTTGCCGTTCGGAAACCGTGATACGTATCGGAAAACCGTTTGAAGCGTATGAGAGAGCTATTTTTTGTCTCCGATACCTGCAAATCATATCTGTAGCTCATTCACATAATTGCATGATGAGAGAAAAATGGTGTGCGCTGAGGTCTGAAATTTTCCATAAAAGTATGAAAATATATGATGGAGAGCGGCAGTTACCTGGAACTTGATTTTGCTCTAAAGCACCTAGACAGAAAACCGTAAGCCCTAGAAAAATTTTGAAAACATTTTACCGCAGCAGGCATGCGTATGATGTCATGTCCGAGTTTCATACCAATAGCACGATATTTGTGGGCATGACAGCAATTTCAAAATTTATTTGGGGTCAAAAATCCACTTCATTTTCACTCTAGTAGAGCAGCAGTTGGTGGCAGTTATGCTCTGCGTTTCGGCAGTTGGAAATTTCGCTCGTTTTTCGCTTTTTACGTCGCCGTCGTAACGCCGATTCCCCATAAAAGTAATAGCTCCAATGCGGGAACGAGCCGCACGTTTTGATACCACTTTTGTGGGTGGGCTCGCAGCGGTGCGAGCCGCATTCCGGTCTACGGAAGAAAAATAAAGATTATAACTAGAAAATTCCTGAAGAAAATTTAACCGGGGCCCTGCCAAAGTGTGCCGTCGTTTGGACCAAGCGTTCTGATGCTAAACATTAGCATCCATGCTAAAGAAACCTGCAATGCCATCAATAGCACGTGGATAGTCACAAGCATGACTTACTGAGCATAGGTAATAAGGGAAATAGCTATTACCTATTTCATTTAAGGTAAAAGGCTAAAGCTAATGCTTTGCCTTGCTTGCACAGCAAGGTGTCAGACTGTCTTCAGTCTGACACCGTCTCAAAAGAGAAGTTCAGATCTCTTAAACTGAAAGACTTTTATGCTTCGAAGCCACATTTCCAAACTTCCGGTGGATGCCGCAGAAGATGGCATTGTTTGGCTCACCTTTATGTGTGAGCAGATTTTCAGCGTCATAAACATCAACAAAGCTCATCACAGATCCTGGTTAACTGACAAACATCTCAGATCTGTTCTGAGAATTGCCACAACAAAACTAACTCCAGACTTTGATGCACTGGCAAAAAAGTGAGAACAACACTGTTCCCACTGAGATGTAAGTTTCTCTAGTGTGTTATGAAAAAAAAGCAACTCTAGCATTTACGCGCAGCAGCGATACAGTAGCTTAATTAACATGCCGCACATCGCTCTCAATTTAAAGATCCCTTTCTTTCATTGGGTAATAATATTGAAACGATTCTGTTTTAGTTCTGCTTGGTTCCACATGGTTATGTGTTATAAGTTACAATGTGTTCCTTATTGTTACATGTAGCGTTATTTACTTCCTCTGACTCAGCTGACTTCCACTCACACGTGATTGGTCTGTCATGACGGTGGGGGTGGGAGCAGCAGGGCGGTGTTCGGTTGCCAGTTACGCTGCTCTTATTCTTATTTCCAATAAACCCTGTTTGACGGGACTACAGCTGCAGTGTTGGCATCATTACAATATGTTCTGAAATATATACTTTGAAAGTGATTCCGTTTATCTATTTCCACTAAATGTTGATTTCTTTTAAATTTGCACCTTCAATTGTGTCTGTTTTTCCATACATTTCAATACCCAGGTTTAATAAATTACATTGTGTGTCCAAATGCTCCTGGCCTCTCTGTCAAATTACCCATTCTGGCCCGCTAGTCAAAAACTTTGCAAACCCCTGTGTTAGAGCCATTACAAATAAGCATGTGAAGAATCACAAGCATGTTGACTAACATGTTAAAATTAGTGTACAAGCTAAAATTAGCCAAAATGCTAATGTAAGCCTAAATACTATTAATATTATAATTCAATAATAACATTAGTTAATTATATATTTTTTATTTCGTTCATTTTTCTTTGAAATCAAAAAAAATATTTTTAAATATACATTAGTGACTATTGTCACTTAAGGCAAATGAATGTAGTTCATAATAGTGACAAAATTTTTAAATGAAAAAACCCACACACACAACAGATCACAGTTTAAAAATATATATTGAAGTCAAATTAAAGATTTCTACAAACTTTTTACAAGTAAAGATTACAATGAACCAAAATTACAACATTTAAAGAATACAATAAATTTCAGAACTTGATATCTCTGCAATAAAAACTATCTTTTTTTATTTACATGTGTCCTGTCCGGCCGTGTGGCACTCAGGGTTGTTGCCTGAGTGTCAATGTAAGGCCTGACAGATTTAATCTCACAAGTGAAACATGGCTTTGCCACGATGATCAACTTGTCATAAATATCAAACTATTATACATATATACATACATGAAACATATATTAAACTATATTCTTACATGAAACTATTTTAAATATATACATACATAAAAAAACTATTTACAACTGTAGAAAAAAAAAGAAGAAAAAACAACCGCTGCTCCAAAGCTTTCATTTGGGATCCAGTCTATGTGACATCACAGACTCTGTAGTAAAAATACAGAAAAAAAAAAATTATTATTCATGACATTTTTAAACATCTGTAAAATTTAAACTTTGTTTAAATAAAGATTTCAGAATGATTAACAGATATAAATACCAATATGACCCAAGAAAAAAGGTCATACATCCACTGGATTCCTCCTATCAAACCTAGATATACAACGTTATCAATCTCAACTTAAAATAAACCAAATTGGCAAATAAATTAGCCTTCATTTGTTATGTACTTACCTGGTCAGATTGTCCCACCTGGAACATTCAAAGAAACAAGAACTCCATCTCCTCAGATTGTATGAGGCCCAAGTCCATGAAGTAGGTGAGGATTTCCTGGACTGAAAACACACAAGTCATTCCATCAATAGACAGCTATTACCAACAACAAAAAAGTAACAACTTGTAAGGTTGCTACAACTTAGATACATTTTCTACATCTTATGGGCCAAACCTCAAGGTCTTGTTTCCCTCTGTCTTCTTGGCAGCCTCCAAGGATCGTTTACGTGGAAAACCCTGCAAGAACAGACTAAAACTGGGAGAACAAAGGGTTAATTCCACCAAAACCAAACAAATTCTGACCAGATGGAGGGAGTCCAACAGGACAAAAGTGAGCCAAACTTTTGTCCTGCTTGTGAAGTGAAGATAATGTAGCCACTGGGGGGCTGCAGCATTAAAAAGTTCAGTGTGACTGAGGAGAGATTGAAACAAGGAGAGCTTTAATTAAGTGACGCAAACGGTGAAGAATAAAAACGTAGTTCCGCAAAAAATTTAGGCATATTTGAAGGGAAAAATTGATGTTAACTGTATTAGAAAAATTACGAAAACTTTATGGTCCCCATTTCAAATCATTTTAATTTCAAATAGAACAGAATATACATATAGTAACTGATTGTCTTATCTACTGCTCCCTGGTGCAACATTTCCAGCAACTACTCTGACAGTGAACCGATAAGTGTTTCAAGATCAGCCACTTTCGTATTCACAAAGCTCAAACAGTTTCATGTGCAAGTACAAAACCTGTTTATGAAGCCTCTTCTACAGAAGTAAATAAGTTTTGAAAAGATTCACTAAGTGTACAAGAATCTCTTATGCCGACAACAAAATCCACAAGCATACACCATAATTCAGAAATGTGTACAATGAATAATACATATGAAATCCACTGCAACAATGATCAAGAAAAACGATCCACGCTATCATAATTATAAAAGCAAACAGTCAAATGAAATGACATTAAAAACGACTAGAGATTCCAACATTTTCTCCAAAAAGAATTTCATGTCATGATTTCAGGGTTAAGATTTACAGTGCTTACAAAGTAATCATACCCCTTGAACTGTTCCATATTGTTACATTGCAACCACAAATATATTTCATCCAAATGTAATATGAAAGACCCATGACGTAGAACCCTTATGATTAAGTGAGACTGTTTGATTCAGTGTTCCCAGCCTTTGTTCAAAAAGAAGGACTGGGGGCGGGGGTGATGCCTCCATCGCAAGGTCTATTTGGGGTTCATGGAGAGGACGGTCCATCAGATAGCCGAAAGTCGGATTCGAGAAGAGCAGTGTGGTTTTTGCCCTGGTCATCTAACATTGGACCAGCTCTATAGCCTGAGCAGGGTCCTGGAGGGTGCATGGGAGTTCACCTAACTCCCATGCAGGTGTTGGGTCTACAGATGTTTTGTGGACTTGGAGAAGAAGTTCGACTGTTTCCTTCGGGGAGCAAGGGGTGGGTTCTCTGGGAGTATGGGGTCCCGGGTCCTTTGATACAGGCTGTTAGGTCCCCATATGACACCAGTGTCAGAGACTGGTGTGCATTGCCAGCAGAGTCAAGCTCGTTTCCTCGCAAAATCCAACTCTAAGCAGAAATGAGCTTGACTTACTGCCAATAATGCAGACCACGTTTCTGTAAGGTTGCACAGAAACCTTACAGCCCGTATCAAAGGACTTGGACACCATACTCCATGAGAACTCCCACAAAGTTCCCAGAGGGACCCTGTGAAATGCCTTCTCAAAGTCCATAAAAACATGTAGATTGTTTGGACGAACTCCCATGCATTCTCCAGTATCTTGATGACCCTCCTTTCCAGGACTCCAGAATAGACTCTACCAGGGAGGCTTAAAAATATGACAGATTTTTTTGCAAATAAACTGAAAAGTGTGTATTACTTAGTACAGGTGTGTCAAACTCATTTTTGTTTTGGGCCAAATCAAGATTATGAAAGCTCTTAAAGGGCCAGTTGTGCCAGAATGTGTTGATAAAGCCTGTTCACAAACTGTTAATATGTCAATAAATTCTTAAAATTACATAATATTATTGAACTTCTTTGCAGTCCCTTCAGGAACTAATAATAAATTTACTCGCTGTATAAATCATGGACTATAATCATACATTAACTAAATTCTCAAGAAACTGGAGGGACTGATTGATATAAATTGGCAGTAACAGATAAAAACTGCATTGATATGATTGATAATATAATATTTAATCACACTTAGTGTTAGTATAGTCTGTGGAGGGCCACATAAAAAGCAACGGCGGGCCGGATTTGGCCCCGGGCCTTGAGTTTGACACATGTGACTTAGTATATACCTGCAAAAATAAACAAATATTTCTCCTCTCCACTGTTTTTCCATAGTTGTGGTTGTAATCTGATAAAATATGGAAAACTTAAAGGAACATGACTCCTTTTGCAAGCCACTGTAGATGCAACTTATACTGAAGCCAACACACAGTATGTAGGATTGTGGTAGCTGTAGTAGTCTGCAAGACACCTGATTTGACACAATATTCTGGATGGGAGATGTAAATATGATCAAGAAGAGTATGTTTTTCTGTGGTTGGATCAGAGATAAGTTGCATAAACCCTTTGGCTCTAAACAACTGATTGATGGCTTTTTTCCCAGGAGGAATAATGTCCTCATTAAAGTCTCCTAATACGACAACGGGATGAATAGCCATTGAATTCAGGCCAACCAAGAGGGCTCTGCAGATTTCTTAAAAATGTTCCAAGATCATAACTTGGTGGCCTGTAAACTGTCGCGATGACTGCACTGATTGGGGTGTCCACTTTTACAACATTAAATTCAAGATCTGTAACCTCATTAAAGAATCTCCGTTCCTGCGGTTGGAGAAGACTCCGGCAGTAAGTCGCAACTCCCCCACCCTCTTTGGTGGCAATGTCGACTCTGTTCGAGTAGGAGACATGTCTGTTCCGTGAAAAAAAAGAATAGCCCTCCATTTGGCAGGAAGCTGGAACAGAAGATCCAAACAAATGAGTCTCCGTAAGGCATAAGATATCTGCCAACATGAGTTCATGATGTTGTTTCATGTCCTCAGAGTGACAGACAAGGCCTTCGACATTGTGGTGGACAATCGTTAATGTTGCACCCTGATGACCTGACTGAAAATGCAAGAGTGGTCTGGTGTGCAAAAAAATGGTCTCATTGATTCCATCGCTGCTCTAATATTTTCATCAGCGTAGATCTTATTTTCATCGAAATCAATGATTTTAAGTCCTTCCAGGGAAGTTGTGCGACTGAGAGCTACATATGCCCATACCAGGTTCAAAAATACGCTTCAAAGAAATGACTGCAGACTTCATAGTCATTCCTTGGACTTTGTGTGCTGTACAACCAAAGGCTAACCTAATTGGAAATTGCCGTCGTACCACTCCCTTTACGCTACTCTGTTCCTCAAATCTCTCAATATAAACAAAGCCATCTGGTTTACCCCGAATCTTTTTTGTATGTCCAGCAAGAGGATTGTCCAATTTAAGTCCAATTAACTTTACGCTAGTCTTTCCGTCTTTGGTACTGGTGACAATATCAGCTATGGTGCCAAATGTTCCATTCACAAGACCGTCCCTACATCCAAGTTTCTTATAATCATTACTCTAAAACCCAAACCAGCCTGTATGTTGTTAGACAAGTCTCGCTTGTTGCCCGCTATGCAACAGCCCAGGTTAATCATGTTTCCGGTCTTTGTAATTCTTTTGTAGTCCTCTGCCTGGATATCAACTGTTACTGCACCTAAAGAGGCCACAACTGCTGCATTATGGGTGTCCACCTGTTTGTTTGTTGCAAAAATGTGTAGGACATCCATAGGACACTTTGGGCTCAGTAACAGCTTGAATCAAAAGAGTCTTGTCATCATCACTGAGCAAATTCGCTTTACCTTTAACTCTAATCCGATTCAGGAGCTCCGCAAATGCTCTGTCATCTTTCTGCCGCATGATTTCGGTCAGGCTGATCATCTGGAAATTTTCATTCCAGATATCAAGCATGCCGTCCTCGGCGACACAAAGAGGTTTTGCCCGTCCAAGGGGAGGAAGTTGGAAGAAGTCCCCCACAGCAAGAACAGAGACCCCACCCATGAACCTGTTGTTCCCCTTTATTTGTTGAAATCTCCAGTGAACATATGCAAGCAGGTCTTTGGAGACCATGGAGATTTCATCAATGATCAAGATTTCCACACTAGAAAGAACTGCCCTCACTTCATCCAATGAATTTCCAAGGCCTTTGTATGGTGGTTTTAAACTTTTGGGTAGTTTCAAGATGGAATGTAAAGTCTTCCCCGATATGTTGTACGCAGCAGTACCAGTAAAAGCTGTAAGAAGCACAGTGGGCTTGGACATGTCACCAATATCAAGAAGTCTAGGAAGCTGGCGCAAGAGCTTGGTTGCCTCCTGGTAAACACATTTGATTACATGAGATTTACCACAGCCAGCTCTCCTGTCAAGAAATAAAAGAAAGGTTCTGGGTTGTCACCCCAGACGCGCTTCAGACACCAATCGCGAATGGTGTAAAACACGGATGCTTGAGTCTCGTTTAAACTCCTGTACATTTGTCTGATGAAATCAGGGCTCAATTTTGGAGCTTCAATTTTTGGCATGTCTCCAATATTGACATCAATTTCGTAATCTGGAATAGGGTCTTGCTCTTCATCTTCTTCAAATGGTGGTCGCTCAGCAGCGCATTCTAAATTGTCTAATTCAACCTCTGGCGCAAAAGTGTTCCAAGCATTACGAACCGGTCCTTGCTTTTTCAATTCTTCCATAATTTTGTCAATTTTTTTACCCTGCCCTTCATACCTTTTGCGGTTGAAATCCACATACATTTAGCCTGATATCTACCACGGAAACCGTTGTTGTAAAATGCTTCGTAGGTTGTGTGTTCCTCAGTTTTAAGGTCCTCATCTCTTCTGTGTGGACAATATAACTTTAGAAGCCGTCTATAAAATTTTCGGGTGTTTTTTTCTCCGAGAAACGAGTAAATCTGATAACTGCAGGTTTGCCCATCGTTCTTTTCTGGATGAATCCTGCATCATTAAGTAGGGGAATTGCATTGGCCCTTGAATTTGATTGCCATATAAAAACGCGGTACTCTGATGCAAATTCTGCCAGGCACATGTGTTCAAATTCTAACGTTTCTGGTCTGTTTAGATATTTTTCCGGCAATCCTGTCC